CTGGTCTGATTGTTCTCGAGCTTCTAGCTCCGTGGCCACCCGGCCTCCTTGCTTGCATGCTTCTTCCTCCTTCCCCGTCTTCCTGTCACTCGTTCCGCTGAGCACGTGTCCTGGCCGCAGAGGGACCTTCCGGCGTGGCTGGGCGTCTGGCGCGGGCGTCCAGAGTAGGGTCGGGCAGCGTCCGTGTCCTCCCCCCCCCCCCCCCCCCCGCCGTCACTGCTGTGTCGTGCCCAAGTCTGGCCGGCCCCGTGCCTCTGGCCTCATGCTGACCTTCTCCTGTGCTTTGGCTCCGACAGATTCCCGGTCGGGTGGCTTCCAGTGGTCTTCAGTCTGTGGTGCACCGATGAGAACTCCTTTCCGCTGTGAAGGGCAGACAATGCATGGCTGGTCTACTCTGTTACAATGGCTTTACTAGTGACGCGCCCCCCGGTCTAGAACCGAAACGTTAACACCGGGAGCTCTCCAGGCCGCCCGCCCAGCGACGCCCGTGGGGGAAACAAAACACAAACTAACCCGGACAGACCGCAAAGCTCTGCCGTCGCAGGGGCTGCACCGAGGGCCTCCCACGCGGCCCGCTCGTCTCGGGCTGGGAAGAAAAGCAGAGTGTGAGAGACAGTTGCAGAGAGAACCAGACTCCCGCTCAAGAGCCTTTCAGTCCCCCTGCGGTGGCGGCGCCCTGCTCCCTGACGAGCCTACTGTAACCACCGATCTTCTACTTGGTTAAGACAGTTTTGTATCATTTTGCTAAAAATTACTGGCTTAAATCTGTGTAAAGAAACCTGTCTTTTTATTGTTCCTTTCTCGTCTGTTTCTGTGGTCCTGAGACAGATGTTGCCTCTAAAGAGCCCCCGGAGCAGAGGCTGGCGTGGAGCTTCCGCGTAGGCAGAGCGCGTCAGGGAGCAGAACGCGGGCGCCGTCCTCTGCTTTGTGGTCTGCGTGTCGTGGGGTCCGCTGTGGAGAGGGGTTTTCTCGTCAGAAGTGCCGTCCCGTGTAGACGTGTGTGTAAGTGCCCCGTGCGTGTCCGTGTGTGTGCCGTGTGCTGTGCGTCTTGTGGCCTCGTTGCGCTGGTGCTGGCTGTCACTGTCCCTTCCCCACCTGAAGCAGAAGGCCCGTGCGACGAGGTCCTTGGAGCGGTTAGGGAGCCAGGCTGCGCCTCACCCCCCTGGACTCGGCCAGAAGGAAGCCGAGCACCGAAGATCTCAGAGGCCAAGGCTTTGCGTGGCGCGTTGCTGGTGCCTCAGGAGAGGATTTCGAGCGAGAGACGTCGGACCCTCCGTTGGGGTCACGTGTGGTCGTTGTGGTGGTGGTGTTGCCTCCGTGTCTTTGAATTTGGGAAACGTTCTGAACGGACTGTAACTGTGATCAGTGTAGATTGGCCCTCAACGTGTGTTAACATCTGTGTGCTCAGAACCAAGGGCGTGGCGGTGTGCCCGGCACCGGGTTTGCCCACAGAGGCCTCGGCCCAAGGGAATCCACCCTCAAGTGCCAAGAAGCCGGTGACTCGACCTGTGTCCAGGAGGGTGTGGTGTCACGCACTTCCTTCCGGGACTTTTGTTGGGACCTAGCAAACCCCACGGGGGTCAAGAAGCAGGGCGGGGCTGAGTCTCGCCAGAAGGAACCTCTCGGGGCCCCTGGGCTCCTGGTGGTTTGCCAGGACGCTCCCTCATCTTGTCGCAGGCAGAGGCGCCAGGTGGCAGCCCGGAGCCCCCGTCGCGGGAAACAAGGTGCAATATAGGTGTTTGTGGGAACTTCCGCCTCTCCTTCTGCCGCCCCCTGCACAGTGCTCTGTGTGGAAACCAGGGCGCTGGCAGCAAGTGGACCGGAGAAGTGTCCGTCTCTGTTTTCCCTTCCTGCCCCCTCAGCCACTAGCGCCGGAGTGCGGCCATTTGCTTCTTTGTGAATCCTGAACTGGCTGTTCTGTTTGGGGGCGCGGGGCCTGGGCCAAGCGGGGCGGTGGGAGTGCGGTGCGAGCTCGGGCGGGTCAGGGTGGGCTGGGGACCCTCTCCAGAGGTACGCCTGCCCCTGGCGGGGCGTGAGCAGCACAGCCCCCCCCCCCCCCCCCCCCCGGGTGCTGCCCGACGCCGGTAGGGACAGCCTTCCCACGCTCTGCATCTGGGCTTCCACCTGAAATTGCCGGACGATCCGAAAGGCGGGCCCAGCTCCCCGGGCCCGTGGCTGTGCGGCTGTCCGTCCGTCCGTCCGTGCACACTTGCTGCCCTCCCGGTGTTTAATTCCCCGTCACGACTGCAGGACGCGTAGTTGCAACGTCTGTATCAACCTGTGTATCGGTGGCCGGTCTCTGACTTGGCACGTTTGTGTGATCACTGCATCTATGTACTACCACCGTGTAAATAATAAATCCATGATGACTTCTACCTTCCCCCCTCCCCCGCCCTCCACATGGTCTTTATTTCATCCGTTTGAGAGGGGCGCTGTGTGTCTGACCTGCCCGCGGCCCGTCGGTGGTGTTGGTATAAGCTGGTCGGGAGCAGGTGGCCGGGTGGGCTGCCACTTCAGCGGTTCCAGAGCCGACGCCTGCGCAGGCCGTGCACACACACGTGCCGGTGCGCTCGGGGGCCCCTTCTCCCCCCGGCCTGACCACCTTCACGGAGCAGGTGCCTGAGCCCCGTGGCCCCACAGGCAGCGCCAAAAGGAAGCACTGTCACCTGCCCTGAGCATTGTGGGGAGGCAGCCGGCCTGTCATGGTCGTACGGCCGCCGAGGGGGACATGGTTCCTGGGAGGCAGCTCCAGGGTGGGCCCCTCCATTTGTTGAACTCACAGCCTTGACCTCCCTTTCCCACGTGCACTGTTGAAGCCCTCCAGCCCCCGTGAGCCCCACACCCCACCAAACAAGAAGGCGTGGGGTTGGCCTACGTGCGCCTGAGGAGCCAGCTGCTCCCCGCGAGTGTGCGGTAACCCAGCACAGCCCTCCCCTTTCTGCCAACTCTGGCCGAGCCCAGTGGGCCGCCGGGTTCCGGAAGAGGGCTGGGCTCTTCCTTGGCCCTCCCCACTTCCCAGCCACCAACGTTGGGAAAGCAAAATTCGGGCCCCTTGTTGCTCCCCTCAGCCCAGGTGGCAGGGAGACCAGCCCCGAGCTGCCCTCCTCTGTTCTGCTGGGAGGGGGCCGCGGGCAGACAGGGGCCGTCACGCTGCCCTCTGCCCAGAGCCTGCCTGCCCTGTTCCTTGGCCTCTCAGCAGTGGAAGATGCCTCATGGTCCCCATCTTCCTGACCCAGGGACCAGCCGCTGGGCTGGGGCACAAGGCTCAGTACTCAGGAGTGTGTGCAGAGCCTCCGCTGAAAGCCGTTTGGAGCCCCTCCTGGAAACCCCACACCCTGTCCTTCGTCCCTTTGTCCTCCTTCTGTGTCCAGAGCCTGGGTGCTGCCTCCCGTGTACCCGTGTGTTGGGTTACAAGGGTCCACCACGTTGTGCGTCCTTGAGGCCATGGATTGGGTGCTGGGAAGGACTGGGCAGTCCGTCAGGGCCGCTGCAAGTGCCGCCTCCCCCCATCGGGCACCCCCAGTTCAGGGCCCACACGCATGCACCAGGGGCTTCTCCGCATAGGCTCTTCCCAGCGTTTGTATGTGGCAGGTCCACCCAGGTCCGGCCAGGCTAGGGGCAGCAGTCTGGGGTGATTTGGGGTGACGTGTGCGTACCTTCCAGGGAGGGGCCAAGAAGGCCCACCGAGGGGGGGCTTGGCACGGGCGCCTGCCTCACTTCATATGGGGCAGTCTCCACGGGGTGCTGGAGGGTTAGGGATGGCCCCACGAGCACTGACTGCTCTCCCTGACTCGTGTGAGGGAGGAGTGCTCAGCCCTGGGTGGCCACAGCTTCCTGAGGACATCCAGGTTTCCTGTCTCCCATGTTGGGCCCGGCCGGAAACACCTGGAACCAGAATACTAGGCAGATAAGACTTCCTTGCTCACTCTCTCCCTCTGGCCTTGAACCTCAGCCTCCGGTCTGGGTTGGAAACGTTGAGACTGTGCCCAGCAGGGGGCCTTGGGTCCACCTCACGTGTCCACCAAGGTGCCGGCTAAGGGGACAGGTGGACCCGCGTTCCCTAGGCCAAGGGGAGGGTAGAGGAACCCTTGCTCACCCTGGAGCGCGCGGGCTTACCCATGGACCCCAGCCCCCCCGCAGCTGTGTGCATCCTGCCTCGATTGGGGCGATCATCTCAGAATCGCTTAATGTTAAGCATCCCCAGGGCAGGACTCGCGGGTTCGCTGGGCCCCATGCTGGGCCAGCCTTAGGACACGGGCATGGAGACGGGTGAGAACACACACTTCAGTTGCTCCTGGCCAGCGCTGGGAAAGCAGTTTAGGGTGAGGGTTGGGGAGACTGCAGCGCGAGGTCCAGGAAGCCCACAACAGCTCTTCATGGCCAGCAGCAGCCAGACGGAGCTCCTGCGGCCGAGAAGGGGGAGGGTACAAACAGCCCAGTGGGCCCTGCCTGGCTCACCTGAACACGGGCCAAGGGCAGTAGATGAGGGCCTCTGCCTTGACCCCTGCGGCAGCTGGCATCGCCACAGCCCCCGCCCCCCACAGAGGGCCTGGGCAGACCAGGATGGGCATCAGAGCCCCGGGGCTGTGGGCAGGTGCTGCAGGGGGGTGCCTGGCTTCACACAGCTCGAGGGGCACATGGAAGAGGGAGAGCAACAGCCCCCCGGGGGGGACATCTCTGGCCGGGACAAGGTGTGAGCTTTCACTTGCTTTTCATTGCAGAGGAGCAGGGACGTGGCGTCTCTCCGGCTGCACGCGGCCCGCCAGGGTGCCCGCTGCCGTCCCCAGCGCCCGCGACGCACCACCTACTGAGGCGGCCCCAGCGGCCTCTGACCGGGCTCCCAGCCACGCAGGCCACCACTGGCCATGAGGGCAGGTGGGTGTGAGGTACCCAGGGCGAGGCCGAGCAGGGCTGGACCAGGAGGACGGGAGCAGATGCCCACCCTGGGTGCTGGCCACATAGGGCCACGATCAGCCAACCGAGGGGTGAATAAATGGAAGGCAGGAAGATCATTTTCTTTAAACACACACATAGTGAACACGAATCACACGTATGTCTCAGCGGAAGTGCCCACGCCTCAAAGGGGCTCCTGGGTGCGGCCAGACCCCTTCCAGCCACGGGGCCCCTGGGTGGATGCTCTGAGCCATCTGGGCTCCAGCAACACAGGGTCCAGAGCCAGCAGCGCTTAAAGCCGACCCAGCTGACAAGGGCCAGAGCCACTTTGTAAAAATGACCAGGTTGTCTGTTGAAAAAGTGAGTTCGGAGCCAACGGTCAGACCCCTGCCCCTCGTAGAAGGAGACCCCGGCTCTTTGAAGACATTCCTTCCAAGGTGGCTCCTCCCATACGCGGGTTTATTTCAGACCTTCAGAAGCGGAGGAAGGGAGGTTTGTCCCCCAACACTCGGCGAGGGGCGGGCTAGAGCTCCGTGGTGGAGGTGGGGCGGGACGGGGTGCAGCCAGCCACATGGGGTGGGGGGGGGGGGTCTCTCCCGAGACGGTGCCGCTCCGCCCCTGACCCCGGTCGTGTTGTCTCTGAAGCATGGGTTTCTAGGTCCCTGAGCACAGCGGTGGGCACCAAGCTGCTCTGGGGTCAGCAGGCTGTGTCCTGGTGCAGACGGCTTGTAACCTCGAGGCTTGGCTCTACCACAGACCTGCTTTGGAATGACACGGTCCCCACCTCACCAGCCCCCCGAGACACACGGACGGCCCCACCCAAGCCGGTCCTGTTTGTGAAATAAACACGAGCCTTGAAGTCTCTGTCCGGTTCCCTCACCCCTGCTGGCCTCCTCCGCTCAGACGCTCGTTTCTGGGGTGTGAACCACCTCCCCGTTTTTCTCAGGCTCTGCTTTCAGGAAGTGTTCCACCTCCCGAGAGTCCACCCTCACGTCCGCGGGGGGCTTGTGGCGCTCCCCCTCCTCCACAGCCGCCTCGGGCCTCTTCTTAATGCAGAAGAAGTTGCCCAGCACCAGCACGAGGGAGGAGGCCAGCACCTCGGCCCCTGCCAGGAGAAACACGTACTGGTAGACGTGCGTCGCATCCAGGAGCTTGCCTACAAAGGGGAGACAGCGTCAGCCTGGGCTGAAGGTCACCCCCACGGTCACCAGCTACCTGTGCACCGTTGTGCTGTTGGGGACAGCCCAGGGGCACCCTGTCCCGGCTTCTCCCTCACCACAGGCAGCACAGACCAAGAGGCTTGGAGGAGGGTTTGGAGCCGTGCAGGTTCAGGGTGGGAGCCTCGTCTGGGGTGCCCGGAGGTATCTGGTCACACTGCCTGTCACCTGTCACCGTGGAGGCCTCTTGACCGTGGCCTTCACGGGAACTGCCTAGGCCCCAGAAGGACCCCAGGACCCCCGAGGCACAGCCCTGGAATTCACGGGGTCCCCTGTGGGTGCGGGCCTGCAGAGTCAGCTGGAGAGACCCTAGCCCACACCGTTTAAGTTTACGCCCCGGTATTTTCTCAGCCTTTGCAAAGGGTGAAAGCCCAAAGTGACCAAAGCCGACCCCCCTCCTGGGCTCTGAGCTGGCCTGCATGCAGGGACAGCACCACCCTCCGGATTCGGGCACGTGCCCGCCTTTGGTCTAGGCCCGTGGCCCCCTCCGTGGTGGACCAAGCAGGTCCTCAGGAGTGGGGCATGGCTGGCGTTCACTCCTGCTGGAATACGGGTGGCCTGGCCACATTGGTAGGTGTCCCTGCAGCCAAGAGCCCTCCCATGGTGGGTCCCCCTCCCCAGGAAGGCTGTGACCCACCACTCACCGCCCGACGGGGGCCCAATGAGCACGGCAATGGCTTCCAGCAGCAGCACGAGGCCAATGGCACTGGAGAACTTCTGGGTGCCCACAATCGCCATGAGCACCTCGAACTGCAGGGCCCCCACCATGCCGTAGGAGATGCCGAAGAAGATGCAGAAGACCACCAGGCCACCGTAGTCGCTGGCCGTGGACCCCGTGAGGTCCGTGAAGCCGTTGAAGAACATAGAGAAGCTGAAGAGGTAGACGGAGTACGGTCGCACCTTCTTAAGCCCCGTGATGAAGCCCGCGGCGGGCCGGGCGAAGATATCGATGAAGCCCAAGACAGTGAGCAGGAAGGCAGCCTGGGTGTCGGGCACACCCAGGTCCTTGGCGTAGCTCACCACGAACACGGGGGGCACAAAGAGCCCCAGCACCATGATGGAGGCGGCCACGGCGTAGATGACAAAGCCACGGTCCCGGAAGACGCTCAGGTCCAGCAGCCGCCTGGCTGGCCGCTGGGGCCCGGGCCCCGAACCCGGCCGGGATGCCTCCAGGGGCCTCATGAGCGCGGCACACACGCAGCAGTTGAGCAGGAGGCCCCCCAGGATGAGGAAGCCGCCCCGCCAGCCATAGTGGTCCTGCAGCAGCTGCCCCAGTGGGGACAGGGCGCACAGGAACACAGGGCTGCCCGCGGCCGCCAGCCCATTGGCCATGGGGCGCCTCTTGTTGAAATAGCGGTTGAGCATGATGAGGGAGGGCTGGAAGTTGAGTGCCAAGCCCAAGCCTGTGGGAGGGGCAGGCGGGGAAAGGTGTCAGCTCAGTCCTCCTGGCCCCTTGTCCCTGTCCCCCGTGTGCCCAGACACAGGCTCCGGCCTGAACAGTTGTACGTGGGGTCTGTGGGTGTCCACGCGAGGGGACCCGGTGTGCATTCAAAGCCCCTGTCACCAACTAACATGCTGGGAGAGACAGACGGGGAACGAGGGACAGACTGGCGCCAGGGGTGGGAGGCAACCCACTGCCGCCCCCTCCCAAGAGGCCCCTCGATCTGGATGCGCCGCCCGGCCCGTTATCTGGCCACTGAGGAGTGAGCGTGCCGTGGCCTGCCCCGCTCCCTGCTGGGCCCCACTCACCGGTGATGACCCCGGTAGTGAGGTAGAGCTGGATGATGCTTCCGCAGAAGGATGCAGCCACCATGCCCAGGGATGCCAGGAGGCCACCCGCGAGCATGACGGGCCGGCAGCCAAAGCGGTTCACACACACGCTGCAGAGTGGGCCTGGGGGTGGGGGGCAGAGAGCTGGGCCCGGACTCTCCCTCCCTGGTGCCCCCTGCCCCAGCTCAGCAGACAGGCCAGGTGCCCAGGATGTGAGTCGTGCCCAGACACCTTCCCAAGCCAAGCACGGTTTGCAGCAGAATGCCCCCGGGTTGGTCTCTTTTCTGTTTGCTCTGTTTAGGCGTCGAGACCCAACTGTCCGTAAAGGACCGTTCCAGAGCCTCGTTCTCTGGGACCACGTACAGCCACGTACAGTGCAGGTACAGCCTGTCATCGGACAGGTCTTACAAAGACTTGGCCTGTGCTGGGTTTGGCCCCATGGAGAGCCACGGATTTGGGGCAGAAAGGGGCCCCCCTGGGCCCTGCCCATCTCCCACCCCCAGGCCTTCTTGCTTGTGTGCAGCTCTTAGCCAGAACTGAACACGGTGAACTCCAGAGGTGACCGCCGGGTGTGACAGCCCCTCACCTGTCCCGTACAGCATGGCCAGCAGGATGGAGGAGATCCAGGCCGTGTCACTGTAGCCGATCCCAAACTCACGCATGAGCTCCTTGAAGAAGACGCTGACTGCCTTGGGGAAGGCGTAGGAGAAGCCCGTGATGACGAAGCAGCCAAAGAGGACGGCCCAGCCCCAGCCCCCATCAGGGGCCTTGATGCCGGTGGGACCCTCGTCAACCACGGCGCCGCCCATGGCCAGGAGGACAGGTTGTGCGTCCCTGAGGAAGGAAGGCAGGCTGCCTGGGTTGTCTGGCTGGGTCAGCCCCTGTGCTACCTGAGAGCCCCGCCTCCAGCCCTCACCTGGGGCCTCACCTGCACTTGGCCCCAGGCTGGAGGGTCTGGGC